AAAAAACCGAACGATGGATGGATGGAAACTAAAAAAAACACGACGATCCCCATGCATCAGCTAAACCCTATTCCGATTCCATAGATATAGAGCAAAGTTCGACTTACCCATTGGGGCCGTCCCCTTTTTCTCCTCCCTCCCGATTTCTCCCCCTTGGCCCTGGAACTACGCAGCAACCCACCCTAGAGGCGGACTAGGACTCTGCCCTGCTCTCGGACTCGTAGGAGGTGGAGGACTACCCCGAGCCTGGTTCCTCAGCTCCTCCATGCTCATGCTCTGATGGGTCATCGCGGAGCCGAAAGAACATGTCAACGAGGACGTCGGGGAGGTAGCGTTGTTGTTGCTGCTGTGGGCGTTGTAGCTGTTGTTGGTGTTGTTGCTGTCGTTCGAGGAGGTGAGTGTTCCGCTGTTGTTGTTGTTGTTGTTGCTGTCGTTGCTGTTGGAGGAGGGGGGAGAACTCGGGGAGACCTGATGATAGCCCATCGGATTGGACGACATCGAAAACTCCATGTGGTCCATGGGATTCTCTCCCCACGGCGGAAAATCCTGAGAAGTGCCGGTACTAGCGCTCGAGGTTGAAGAGGAGGCGGCAGCGGTGGCGGTAGAAGATGAAGTAGAAGGCTCCGACGAGGTAGGTTGTTGAGCAGAGGAGAAGGATTCGGAGGATTCGGTAGGGAACGTGAAGCCCCCAACTGTCGTCCCATTCACGCCCATACCAATTGAAGTAACATCCATTCCATTCCCGACACTGCCCATACCGACACCGGCATTCTCATACATTCCCATTCCGCTCATGCCCATGTTCATCCCTCCATAATCGGTACCTTGCACCTGCAACACCGGATCAATCGCCACCGTCGACGACCCATCAGCACCAGCACCAGCAGAACCCGAACCAGCAGCCCCCGTGGACGAAGACGACGAAGTCCCATCCGCAGTCGCAACCATATCAACAAACTCAGTCAAAAACTCGGCTTGCCACTCCGGGCTGCTCGTATTCACGTTCACGTCCATCTCGTTGGTGTTGGTCGTATTATGCAACGGAAGCGGAGGTCTAGCTCTCCTCCTCAGGACGCCCCAATGGGCTCCCTCCGTCGAAGAATCGCCACCAGCGAATGCAGACGATAACCCGCCCAACGCGAGTCCGAGTCCACCGCCACTGACGTCAAATAGGCCCGACAAGGACGAATAGGAAGATGAAGTCGAAGATGACGGAGACGATTCTAGAGAAGGTGTGCTAGTCGCCGACGAGGACGAGCCCGACATCCACGTTCTCCTCGTAACAGGGTTGACAGGTGTACCCGCAGCTATAGATCCGAATCTGCGGGAAAAGTAGTCGAGTCTCCTAGGGCTCGAAAGGGAAGGTGACGAGGGTGTGTCGAGGGAGGAGGAGGATGCAGAAGAAGACGCCGCCTCATTTCCGAGGCTATCGGTAGACATGTTGTCTGTACCCGTACCCGTACTAGGCATAGGCATAGGCATTGCAGGAGGCGCAAACGCATCCATATCAAAGACAGCCTTGAACTGATCCATATCCCTCATCCTAAGCTCCGGTAACCTTACACTCCCCAACCTCGGCGGCAACTGCTGCTGCTGTTGTTGTTGCTGAAGCGCAAACCTCTGCGGCGAAAGCGGAGAAAGCGCTCCAAACGAAGACGACGTTGGCGTCGGCGACGAACACGGCTGAGCGTCCTGAGCCTGAGAAGAATCCGAAGACGCCCCATCGAACGAAAACTCGATATACATCCCTCCCTGTCCTCCCCCTCGCGTCTGCCCTTGCTCGTTTCGTTCCGAAGCATCGTCAACATCAACGCCAACGACGATATCCATGATCCTCTCTTTCCGTTCAGGTCGGTTCTCTTCATCCCCGTCCCCGTCTCCCCCAACAGCCTCTCCATCATCCTTATCGTGGTCAAGCTCCATCTCACCCTCCAATTCGAGATCCATACTCTCATCCGAATCCACATCACCATACGCCCAGTCCATCTCTTCGTCGAATTCCATGTCGTGCTCTAGGTCGATATCACCAGGAACAGACGGCGGCGACAACTCCTGCTGTTGTTGATGTTGATGGTACTCCACCAACTCCGGCGGCGGAGCCAACCTCACCACCGTTGTCTTCTGCGTAACAGGGAAAAGCGACATCCTCGACGGTGACGGAATCCCAAACAGCTCAGCTTCATACGCCCTAATGTTTTGTGCGCCGATTTGTGAGCCCCTTTGAGAACGAGTGGGTCAGTCAAAAGAACCAAGGACGGAGAGAGAGAAAAAAGGAAACTCACAAAACCCCAACTCTAGCTTTACACATCGCCTTCCACATCCCCCATCCACTCCCATGAGCACCGCTACCCATCCCACCAAGTCCACCACTAGGTCCACCGAGAACGTTCATCCCACCGTTATCGTCCACGTGTCTCCATCCACCCCAACGGTCCTGTTCCCAAACAACACCGCGGATGTATCGTCGGGCTTTCGCTCCCAGCCGTCTCGGGTGGTGTCCGTTCTGAGAGTCGGGAGTGAAGGAGAGATTCGAGAGGGGTCGGGTTCTACGTGTTGTGTCAGGTGTCAGCGCGAGGGAGAAAGAAAAGAAAGAAAGGACGACGTACGGTGACAAAGGAGAACTATAATCCGGTATCCCCATTCCGTACTCTGACTGCTCTTGGCTCGTCTGTCCTTGGTCGTGCTCATGTTCCTCAAACGAGTCGTAAGGGTTCGGAAGCGGATCAGGGGGCAGATCCGGGACGTCGGGGCATGGGAGCATTGACATGTCTATAGCGGCGACCTCTTCCACCGGAGACGACGGTTGATGTTGATGGTGTTCTGGCTCATCAACCAAGGACGACGGAGGTACCAGTGGAGCTGGGGCTGGGGGTGAAGGAGAAGGCGAAGGAACAACAACAACCGTTGTCGCTGTCGCTGTCGTCGTCGTTGACAGGAGACCTGGTCTTTCCTCATCAGGTTGGTCAGCGGACTCGACCACCATCACCACCTCCTGAACGCCAACACCCACGCCAACTTGACCCTCGTGCGTCTGCGCCTGCGCCTGCTGCTCATCATCAACCATCATCTCTTCAACTTCCCTCTCGTCCTCCGCTTCCTCGGACAGCCTCGGTGGAGATGGAGCGGCGGCGGGTGCGGGAGTAGCCACCATTTCCGAAATGGGTACTGACACTGACGATGCTGATGATGATGAGGATGCTGTGCTAATCCCCGGCGTGCCCGAGGGGGGTGAGCTCGCACCCGCACCCAGCAATCTCGACCTGCCTCTCGTCCGTACTGGACTCCTAGAAGGCTGAGCTTGCGGTGAAGACCCTCGTGTACGAGAACGACCTCGTTGGGTGGTGAGCAAAGGAGGAAGTTTGAGTGGTGGTAGGGGAGGTAACGCTGACGATCCAGCAAGCAAAGGCAGATCTGCGGTCTCGAGGTCCTCGTGTGACGACCGAGGGGAAAGCGCTGACAGGGTCACTGGTAGCTGCTTCTTCGGTGTCGTCGGGGGTGTCGTCGTCGTCGTCGTTGGGAATGATGATGATGGTGCTGGAGGTGCTGTGGATGACTGCTGTGGCAGCGGCGATTTGGACTTGGATTTGGATGCTCTCGCTCTGCTTCTGGCCCTCGTCGTTGGCTGTGACCTGTTCGGCGTCGTTTGTGACCTGCTCGTCGCTGCTGTCGTCTGTGACTTGGTCGTTCGCCTGCCCGTTGTCACGTCGGCACTCCGACTGGGCACCGGATGAGGTCGAGGCCTTCTAGGCGTTCTGACGACTAACTGTGACGGGGATGACGAATCAAGAGTCAGGATATGGGGAATTGGCGGTGGTGCAGGTTTTCGCGAATTCTTGCGAGTATTGTAGTGAGTTTGGGACGAATGCAAAGTAGGATTCCTCGCTCCTCCTCCTCCTTCGAAATCTGCCAAAATTTCCGACGTCGCTGAAGACTTTTGGGTCAAAATAAAATGAGCATTTATTCCGAAATCTGTAGGGGGGGGAGGGGGGAGAGAAAAAAAGACAATAGAAACCCACATACCTCTGAAGCAGATGGCTCTCGTTCTCTAGCTTTACCCTTGCCAAGCTTACCAGACCCATGGCCATCTCTCTCTACCGCCTTCTTCGACTTTTTCCCAGCAGGAGATGTCAAAGCAATGCTCGGCTTCCTCTTCTTCGTCGTCAGCGGTGATGATGATGACGACGAAGGGGGTAATTGCACCCTCGACGTCGACGCGACCGGTTGCTCATAATTCGTCTCCATCAACGTCTTCTTCAACGCTCTCCTCGGCGTCGGATGCGCCACTCCAGACGTCGTGGTCTCTCCATCAGCCGTCCCTTCCTCCTTCGGTTTTGATAACCGTTGACTTCGTCTAGGAGGCGTCGTCATTGCTGTCCCGGGAATATCCGTACTCGTGCTCGTCGTCGTTGCCGGCGTTGAAGTTGACTTGGGCTTGGTAGTCGCAGTCGTCATCAAGCTTGTATACACAGTAGTTGTTATACGAGCAACAGCATGCACAATTGCCATGCACCAATTGGAAGCGTCAATGCGAATTCGAGTGCGTGTGTGCGTATGAATTTGTTGTGGTGGTAGTGGTGTCGCTGAAGGGAAAAAGGGATAAAAGGAGGAGAAATCAGGGAATGCCGCCGGAAGATAGTAAGCAAGCGAGGAAACGGGGCGAGACGCAAAAAACCGACCGTCACCTCTTTCTGTTGGTTTCCCAGGCCGTTGCCATGAGGCCGCCCGTGGGAGAAAATCTGATGAGTCACGTGGATTGGAGTCACAGTGGAGTCACGAGTGGAGAGCACTGCTTTTCTCTCCCCTCGGAGCTCGGAGTCCGGACGCGTCCGACGGTGGGCGCTTCGAGGGCGCTGGAGAGTATGTTGACGGTCATACGACGGTCGATGTGTTCGACACGAGACAGTCTTGGAAACTATTCAGCTGCCCAATTAAGTGATGGTTGGCACCAGAAAACTACTGTATACACTGTATATATCAACATCTCTTACCGTTATAACAACGGCCGCCTGGCGAAATGGCATCGCGTCTGACTACGATCGGTAATTTGCACGAGTTATGCCTTATCTAGTAATCAGGAGATTGCAGGTTCGACCCCTGCGGTGGTCAATGGGCTTGAGGCCGACTCGTTTTGTTGCAAGCAGATATCCCTAGGTTCTTCTTTCAGTTTTCATTCGGTTATCGCGGACGTGCAAAAACCGATATCTTGGTTTTTCTTTTTCCTTCTGTGACTTTTGAATCTACTCGCAATAACACTCACTCAGCACAACGCATTGATCAACCATCCGATGCGCCTGCACACAGACTTCAAACCCAGATAAGTAGAAGTACATCAGAGTGAGTTTGTGTGTGACGAGAAACGACTGTGTTGATCAAAAAACCGATATCTACCTATTCAGCGCACTAAGAGAATGACATACACCGTAATAAGATGGGAAGTAGAAAAATAAATATGTAGTAACTGTAGTTTGCGAGAGAGAAACAAATCAAAATCTGCCTACTCGCCAACCTCCAAGGGTATCAAAGCAAGCGCATTCCGGCACGGTAGACATCATCCCACAACGATAGGTAAAGCACCCTTATACGCACCCCCAGTCTCCTCCCACTGTGCAGCCTCCATAACCTTCGGCACAACCGCACCAACAATCTCCCCCGTAATCTTCACATCCGACTTCTTCCACCCCTCCGCCCAAGGAAGCCGATCCTCTCTAAACATCACATCCACGAACCTACAATCGGTCAGGTCAGCTCGACTATCAAACAACTCACACCGAGACCACTCACTTCTTCGGAGCCTCCACCTTCTCCACATCCCCACCCATAACCAAAAGATACAACGCCGCCTCCGTCGCACGAAACGCAAACTCCTTCCCCGTATTGACGAGACTCTCGTTGTTCCTCACCAACGAATCCTCCAATCGTTCACGCATGACTTGACCCGCGACGCTGATATCGTAGGTGTCTTTCCCCGGGTTCTTCGAAGCGAGGGTTTGGTAGAGAGTTTCGTTGAAGGTGAAGTTGTCGTGGTCTGGATCGAGGTTGAAGTCGGAGCGGGAGATGGAGGCGTCGTGTTCGATGCAGCCGTGGCTTGAAGTGATAAGTGAGTGAGTGAGTGAGTATGGTGAGAAGGGTGCGGCGACTTACAGAGCAGTCCCTCCGAGATCGAAAGTGTCAAACTGTTTCGAACATAGGACGGAGAGTTTTGCGAAGAGTCCGACGACTTCCGGAGAGACATTGAATACATCTAAGTATTTCGCCATGAATCTTTCAACCGAACTCGAAGTGAAAAGAGATATCCAAGACTCACCCTCGACCGCATTCAACATTGCCGGGATCGTGATATTCTTCCCGTTTCGGGGAAGATACCCGTGATTCGACAGTCTAGGTGAACCAAAAAACCTTAGCCTCAATTAATAACATGTCAAAGGAATTCGAAACATACGCATTAATCCAAGGACACGGAGACCTCGAATCGTCCGCCGTCGGTTTTTGGTATTCATGAGGATCCTGATGCGCGTGGTCGTTATAGCACCGGAGAGCTTTGATAGTCCCACCTTCTACCCCGGTAATGGATAGAAGCTGAGCTACGATCAAGATGAAGAACGGTGCGAGTTTGAACATCTCGAGGTGGTGAGATTAAGGAGAAGCTAAAGATGAAAACGGAGAACTGGTGATAAAGAACGAAGAAAGCTTGAGATGATGGAGAGAACTGAAAATTCGTGCATAGTTTTTATACTCACTCACCTCAATCAGTACGAGTGTTTTACAGCGCCTCCTCAGGCCTCATCGATCAACAACCTCGAGTTCAGGGTCCCTGATGATGATTGCATTGGGCGCCGGCGTGGTTGACTTCATTCAAGCTCAAAGTGGCGCAGTGACGCTTCTGGAGTTTCCTTACACGGCAACACCGAATAGACTTTTTTAACTTCGGATATTCGACAATGACCAGGGGCGGTGCAACTTCGGATATTCGAGGCGTGCCGCATAGAAACTTCCGACCCTAGAAGTCTCAGCGGCAGCGAGCGAGGCCGTACGGAGATAGAGAGGTGTACGGTATATCTCGTGGACGCTGTGAAATGAGGGTTGCGAGAAACGAGGATAGGTGTAAGTGGTGCGGGATTCTTGGGAGCCAGAACCGATAAGTAAAACTTGTACAGGCTGAGGAAGTGATCAGAGTGATATTCATGGAACACGCGGCTAGTTATAAGGGAGACACGCGAACCTCCAAAATGCTAGTCAGCACTGTTTCGGTATCCTTCTGTGCGGCTTTCTCCAGAGGCCCATAGCCAGTACGCCCTCTCAAACCACAAGGTGATCTTCTAGCACCCGCGAGGCGTCACACTCACCACTGAGCGGCTGGAGAGTTTCAGCAAACTATATTCCGCCCATACAACAAAGAGGAGGGATAGATAAATACAGCGAGCAATTCAAAAGAAAAGCACCTGAGCCCCGGACAGGGAGACCATTCCGTGGGTCAAATCAATATCTATCCGACCACGATAGGTAAAGCACCCTTGTAAGCGCCTCCGGTCGCCTTCCAAGGCTGAGCAGCCTCCATAACCTTCGGAATCACGGCTCCAATAATATCACCAGTAAGTTTCACCGACGATTTCTTCCACCCCTCAGCCCAAGGGAGCCGGTCCTCTCTGAAGATCACATCCACGAATCTAGATCCATCATCAGCAACATTCGCGGTATGTAAGTATGCAAATACTCACTTCTTCGGAGCCTCCACCTTATCCCCCTTCGGAGCCCCTCCCATAACCAGAAGATAAAGCGCTCCCTGCGTCGAACGAAGTGCAAACTCCTTCTCGGTATTCACAGTCGCGTTGTTATACTTGAGCGAATGAGCCAATCGTTCTTTCATGACCTGCCCAGCGACTGCGATATTATACACATCTTTTCCTGGGTTCTTCGTAGCGAGAGTCTGGTAGAGAGTCTCGTTGAACTTGGTATTGTCGCCGAGGTTAAAATCTGAGCGGGAGATGGAGGAGTCGTGTTCGATGCAACCGTGGCTAGACGAGTAAGCGGGTATTCAGAGGTTCCGAAGTCGACGTATGGAGCGTCAAACTTACAGAGAAGTATCCCCGAGATCGAAGGTGCCAAATGTCTGGTTAGAGCATAGGACCGCGAGCTTTGCTTGCAATGATATCACTTCAGGGGGCACGTTGAAGACCTCTGACCACGAGTACGCCGTTAGTCAGTACCCAAGTTGAGCTTTGGAATAAGAAATGCATAGACTTACTGTCAACGGCATTCAGCATCACTGGAATTGTGATGTTTCTTCCATTCCGGGGAATATAACCATGGTTGGCGAGTCTGAGGACGATTTTCAGCATCCCACTGTGACTTGAGCGCTGGTGTTGAATGAGAAACTAGAACGCACGCATTGATCCAAGGACAAGGAGATCTCGAATCCCCTGCTTTTGGCTTCTGGTATGCATGAGCCTGACGATCGTCGTAGCCTTGATCAGGTTGAACGAGGGCGCTTGTCGTAGTTGCACCAACGTTGGTCGTCGAGACGAGGGCGAGAAGCTGGGCGAGAGCCAAGGCGATGAGAAGGTTAACTTTGTTGAACATTGTCGTAGGAATTGATGTGAAGGGTAGAGAGATGATGAGGTAGTAGAGGAACTTGGGGGCGAGCCTTTTATACTCCACACCTGAAACAGCGCGCTGAGTTATCTGCTTGGAGAACCGACACTTGAGCAGGGTGCTCACACCATGATTTGTGGTCGGTCGTTGTTTTGGCGAGGGTATTTCCTTTCATGGCATCGCCGGCTTTGCTCAGTGGGATTCCTAAGTCTTGGGGCGGCTGCTTAGTGATTCTAGTCGATAGCATTGTCAATTTTGAGCGAAAGGCGTGGTAAAACGACTTACACATCCAGCTGTCAGACTCAAACACTCTTCGTTGAATGAATGTTGCCAGTAGTGACCGTGGGCGGTATAGGGTGCTGATGTTTTGCGATGAAGCGGCCAGGGACTGCCGTATTTTTAGGTGTTGTATACGGAGACAATCAGGCAAGGTGGATATGCTCTGAATTGCAACAGCACGTACAGTGGGCTAGCCCACAGCTGCCGAGTGCAGATTGGGTGCAGACGAAGATGGAGGATGGCATTGAAGATGCTATCGGAATGTGACTCTAGAAAATCAACACGTGAACCCGGCCCGAAACCTGGCACACGGAATCGTCGGGCACACTGTGACTCTCAGGGCCGTTTCCAGGTCTCCTTTTCGACTCCAACTACATTGAGACAGGCAAGGTAAGACCATTTTTTTCGCCGCAACCGGGGCTACTGTTCGTTCTAACTATTAGTATTCCTTAGTACTTGACCATGGCTAACTCAGACAAGGAGGGTCTCTCTCTGCTTTCCCGCCAGCAACGAGAAACATTCGCATTTTTTCGCTCTCCTGGGATTTTCCAGGCAATGGGAATCAAGGTCACCACTTCGGAAACGGGAGCCCTCGTCGCTGAAACACCAGATCAGCAAGCTCTCGCCAATGCTATGCAAAATCTCGTGGACAAATGCGAACGCCATTCAATTGAGTGTGTCAAACAACGCGAAGCTGCTCGCCTCTCGAAATCTCTTCATTCCTCCATCATATACCGCGTTCCAAACGAAATTCTCCTTTATATCTTTCGATACGCGTCATGCTCTCTAGAAGACAACATTTTCGGCGTTGGTCACGTATGGGAGTCGACAGCGTATGCCTTGAGCGCGGTGTGCAAGCAGTGGCGGGAGATCGCTTTGATCATGCCAGAGCTATGGGCAAGCTTTGCGGTGGATCTAAGGAACGGGGACCGGACGCGCCCTGCCGTCAAACTCATGCTCGAACGCTCTAAGGACATACCCATATCCTTCTATATCACTTCCCCTCCTGACGATTATGGCTCATGCATGGGATTCGACGATGACGAAGACAAGGAAAGCCTCGCATACAAGGCTAGACGTCGTCGAGACGAAGTTCAATGGGAACTGATGGATCTCATCGCTGAACATAAAAATCGATGGCGTAGCTTCAACATTGACACGGTCCATGAAGCGGTTCAGGATTCTGTGGACCACATCTTCTCGGTATCTGAGAATGACGAGAGGGCCACCCCGCCTCC